GATTAAGAGTCATATCACTACTTCACCGATGATATTAGACAACTTATATAGCATAACTTGAGTTAGAACTACATTTCAACACTAAACCAATATCATTATCAAATACTAATATAGTACTATAAGCTACTACATCGTACTAACAAGCATACATTCACAAACATGTACGTTATCAGAAAAGCAACTCTAAATTTATGTGGCAAATTATAATAATTGTAGTCAAAGGTAAATTAGTAGTGAATTTGTAAAATGGGTCTGAATAGGCTAAAGCATCCTCAAAATGCCATCATTGCCATGTAGAGTTAAGTACATGCACACTAAGATATTATGCAAGAACTTGACAGCCTAGGCAAGCTTAGAGCTGTTAAAATGAAGTGTTGTATGTTGGTTAGTAACAGGCCTTTGCTTGCACGGCCAAAAATTATAAAAGGAACTGATAGCAAAGGCAAGAAGTACAAAACTGAGGAAAGTTGATATGGATATCAGCAAAACAATAAGTAAGAACTTTTCTTAATGCTTTTCCTGTTTCAGTGCTTGTTCTTAGTAAAAATTAACTAAACCTAAAAAATTTTGACCTACATGTAGCTTACTAAAATAATAAATGTATGGTAAATTAAGAATATTTGCTTAGTTTCAGTAAACTGTGTACAGTCACAGTTTCAGTGGATAACAACTTTTCCAAAACTAATGCTAAAACAATACTATTTCATTTTCTAGATGTCATACGTGTATTATTATGTGTAGCGAGCTACATATGGCTGATAATTAAAGTAAATTGTTGAACATGTATTTTGTCTTATTTTATGATGAATATTTTCATAGTACATCCAAAAGAAAAGGGATCGAAAGCCATCGTATGTACAAATTGTTTGATAAACCGTGTATAATGATCAAGAAACAATATTCTACATGTACAATAATTATCATTGTAAAATAGATCATCATTAATACTATTAATTATATCAATAGCACTATTATTATTAATACACTGTACTGCAGATAAGAATGAAACTACAATTACTACTAGGAACCACATATACATATACAGTACAAACACAAAAAGAGTTAATCGGCTTGGGATGTAAGAAATGGAGACAAAAAAGCAGTTACATAATGGACCTAGCCACCTCAATAAGGAAGGAAAGGAATAGTTTGATAAAGTTACTTATTTCTCAAAAGCACACACATAGGTTACATGTAATACTGGTTACATGTATTACAATCTTATCAACACTTACCATGCATGATTTCCATTTCGCTTTTTTGGCACTCAGTCGCTTAAGTGACACAAATGAACAAATCACTCATTTAGACCTTTTCAGCCCTCCATTGTACCTCCAGGCGTGGCTAATTGTAATTGAATATCATTCTGATTCACTTGTTTGATTTTACCTCAGTCTGATATCTCTGGTCTGATATATTGCTGTTATACAAAGAAGATGCTGGATGTAATGCTACATTAATGAATCTTTACTCTGAGTGTAACAGTGCTGTTTACACTGGTGTATCATGATTTTATGAAGATGGCTGCCAGTCACATGGAGGGAATCGG